AAGCGCCAAGTAGAAAAAAAGGTAAATTCATTACGATCATGTTTTTCATACGAGTAGCAGATTCAGTAGCCTATGAACAAACAATACATACAACCAACTAAACTGTTTACAGGATTTTCATCATGAGCTGACATTAGTTAGAGAACCATTGGAAAACCTGGGAGTACTGGACAGCTGTTTCGTCCTAGTTTGTGACTCTTCATCAGTACGCACCCCCGGGATTCGAACCCAAGACCTTCTGGTTACAAGGCGAGCTCGTATACCATTAAGCCACTGGTACTGGTATACGAGCTCGCCTTGTGACCAGAAGGTCCTGGGTTCAAACCCCGGTGGGTGCATACTGCTGTAGAGTCCCAAAACTAGGACGAAACAGCTGTCCAGTACTCCCAGGTTTTCCAATGGTTCTCTAACTAATGTCAGCTCATGATGAAAATCCTGTAACCAATCAAATCCCTACAAACCAACACTTGAATAAAACTGCTTAGTTTTGAATGATTGGCCTATAAACATTAGTTTCAAGAATTCGGGCCTTGCTCTTCGTGGTGAGTACTATAGATTTACACACTGATTTCTGGGAGATGAACGCCTATCTCACTTTTTTGATCTGATACTAGCTAGTTCTGATACCTTCATCCGCGCCGCCTTCCTGCAGTTGAAACGACACTGACCGGTTGCAGTAAGTGAAAGGCACGACTTACATTAGATTTTTCCCTGAGACGGTGATTGGTGTCTGTTGTTGGTGGTGGTTATGTGACTTCATCACCTCTGTATTCACTACATTCGTCTTACGTCCCGTTTTTGCTAAATCTTCTGCCAACCTGTATCTTTAAGTCTTTCTGGGATGATGTCTGGAGAGGACAACAAGGTTGTGTCGTGCTAGTTCTTATAAAGGCTTAATTCACTTTTCTGTGATAGTATGTCAAGGCGACATTTTTCCCAGTCCGTTGACTTTTCTCTCCCTCACTTTCACATCATTCTGCCGTAGTAGGGTGAGCATATCCACCTTGATGTTTGCGGCTATTTTCAGTGTCCCCGGGGGAATTCCAACTAGTTCTACTGCTTTTCCCGTTTTTGGTAACTTTATGACCTTCAAGATTTCTGTTTTTATCGGACATTTGATGTTCACTGGTAGTACTGTGTCTGTTAGTAGCATTTCTGGCCAGCTTCTTCATTGATGAATTTCAACTTGATTTTGAAGGCTCTCTGGACAAAATAGGGGCCTGGATCTACGCCTACTCCCCTTCTCGATCTTGGCCTCAGTAAGAGCTGAGTGTAAATAGCATGTTGCTAAGTCATCCAATATAAATAGGATTTTGAGAGAACTACAATTTGAACACATTTAATGTAGTGTATTTAAGTAGTCTAGCAACGAGTCGGTTAATTTCAGATTTCAGTAAGTTGCGTCTCCACATTCTTGACACTAGTGCGTCGGTAGCACAGTGGTTAGGACTCTCGCCGACCATGCACATGGTCCGGGGTTCGATCCCCTGCCGGCGCACACCCGATGTAATGACCATAATGCTGAAAATTCCACACTTGTACTGAAAATACGGTGTGGAATCAAGCTGTAAATAAAATATAAATAAAATGAAGTCTATCTTATTTTCGGTGTCTCTATCTGATTAGACCCACGTCCCCTTGTGAATATCTTTGTGCTCATAAACGCTGCCTCCCATCACAAAATCTTTAAAGAGGCAAGAATCTGAAGAGAGCTTCTCCGTTCTGTTGCGCTTCACTGACATTGTGGAAACATTCCATGTCCCTGTGTTTACTTTTGCTTCCGTCAAAACAGGACGTATTGGACGACTGCTTTCCCAAAGACTGTCACTCGTCAGCTTCATACATTCTCGAAATGAGTCTTCCAGACTCCAGTATAGAATAAGGTCTGTTCTGTGCTTTGAAGTTTGCGTAGCAAAGAGGTCGTTCAGTTTTACGGGGAGAGACGGACAGCCTGGCGCACAGACTTCCACCTTCTCTGATTTTAGGACTGGCTAGATTGCTCAATTCATGCAAACTACATACCATTTTTGATTCACCTTTCTGTCCAGTTTTTCTATATAACAGGGTAGATAATTCTTTTTGTTAGCCATACTTAATGCAGTGAGATTAACGAAATGTTATATTCAGACAAGTAGAACCGCTGCCTTTGAAGTGACTTTTATTCCATCTTAAAAAAAGAAGGAGGAGGCAATAGTAATCATATGATAATACAAGTGTTTCGTGTTCCCTACGAGTAGCTTAATAAATATATTTTTTAAATAATGGAGATAAGTGTGAAACATATTTTTTTACGAGCATAGAAATGAAATAATTAGCATTTGATGTTGTGATATTCACTTATACCAAAGAAACGCGCGTAGTAGGTGTATGGAAGTCGATAAGCAGTGACGGAATAATCATGAACAAATGAGAATCAGATAATCTGGTTATTTATTTGCCTCTCACCCTGTCCATGTATACAATTCCTGTGCTGAAATTAAACAGACCAGAATGATAGGTGGAATGAAAGGAAAGATAGAAAAACAAAAATAACGAGATATGCAGAGAAATATTGCTTATGCATAGAAATAAACAAGGTCAACAACAACATCAGGAGAGGAAGAGAGAGAGAAATGTCCAAAATGATCCTAAAACTAGTTTAAGGAAATCATTATTACTATGGGAACAGGCATTGATTTTTTGTAAATTTTACAGATGATAAAAGCAATCATTCAACCTACCAAGCAGACAAACAAAATAAAACAAAGATCATGTACGACGAAACTAAAAAAGGTTGAATGCACTGACCTATTTATTTGCTTTATGATAATCATGTTATTGGTATTAGCGTTATTTTTATTACCATAGTCGGAAAGATAGAAAGAATGTCATTATAGTATTTTTTTTATTATTTTTATTCCTTTTGTAGTGTAAATGGTTTTCGCAAATAGAAAGTTTTGGAAGTTAGATTACAGTTTTGAAATTGTGCAAAAATAATTGTTGTACTCAATGAGCAATTACACGAAACCGATACTTATTAACATTACTTCCCCTGATCAAAAAATAGTTCCAGTATTTTGGAAACTGTTGCTTTCGTTTCCTAATTTACTCCCTCATCCTGTTCTAAATAGTTCTAGTAATTTGGTTGAATGATGAAAACATTTTTGGAAAAGCAAGCAAATGGAATTTTTAAAAATACCAAGTTGTATAGCTGGTTAATTGAAAATATGTGTGGTCTGCTGCAGAAATGAGCTACATTCTCGCTTCAGAAAGGTGTATCGCATACAGAACCAACACTATATTGTCATATAAAGTGAAGAAATCCAGTAATTATTATAGTCACTATCATAGTTCACTGAAGACTACCAAATTATATAATTACTACACCACACATGTTACTAACTAGCAAGAGTAGTTGACAAATATAATAACTAGATTACGATGATCTAAAAGTTGTAAAGTTATTTTTCCTATTCAGAAATTCTAGTCTGCTTGTTTCGGGTGAGACTAAGGCAACCAATTCCTCACCTAACTAATTAGGTGAGACAAATTCAGTGGGATAGTATACCTTGACTTTTTCGTCCCAATCTTACCATCATTTTAAGTGAAAAGAGCAAAGGATGATGTAGTCCAGTGGATTTTCACCTCAAGGCCCTGGTCTTTGTACCTTATGATGGTTGACACTGTTGAAATCAAACAGTGCTTACAGAATCTGTTATTACTTGGTATGAAGTAAGAACTTAGTTAAACAGAAAGGTTAGATGTTTTTATTTATACGTTTTCTCCACTTAAAATATCTGACATGTCTTCATACTGTGAGTGATTTTTCTTCTGTTCCTTTTAATTTGTTTTACTTAGAATATTTTATTTACTAAATAACAAGCGGTGATATTGTTTTCAATCATTTTCTTCACCGTTTTGTTTACTACATCATGTGTACGCAGAAACTGGTCTTCGTCAATGCTCAACATTCTATCAGACTGTGAGATATAAAATCGGCTAAAATTAAAGTGAGAAATGAACCTTGATAATAATTGTGTTTAATAAACAGCTTATAAAACGTCAAAGTTGTGTACAGATCAATTTCTACAGAATGATTGCTCTGTTTTGTTGGATTTGACTGCCCTATATATTCTATTATGATTTAAGTTATAATTTGCCTTACAGAACAACCTTTAAAAAATCAATAGATTAATGTTCTGTGGTTAATTAATTGAAACCAATGAGTTGTGCCTCGGTGGCATAGTGGTTAGGACGCTCGCCGACCATTCACATGGTCCGGGGTTCGATCCCCGGCCGGCGCACTCCTTTACCTCGCTAAGCCAGAAATAATGCTGGTGAAGAGGAAAGGTTGGGCATGAGGCTAGCAACCCCATCCTGTAAAATAAACACTGCTACAGAAACTTCAAGCCACTAGCTTGAAGCCCTATGTTCCACTGGGGAACGTGAAGGAAATAAAAAATGAGTTATGATATGATAGGATATGATTATGAGCAATAGATTGTGCTTTTAAACGTCGCCAGTAAATACTACAGTATCACTGTGCTTTTATCAAATAAATTTATTGTATGATGGAACTTTTCTGCTCTCATTTCATCTCTTCGTTTTGATAACAGATACACTTCTGTGTTGATCGGCCAGTTCATAATAACAGCTTTACTAAAGCCAAACCATTCCGTTGATGAATTATGTACATGCACACTGCAATCAAACTTAATTGACAAATAACATGGCTGAGTAAAAAAGGAAGAAATATTTATGTCAGATTATAAGCCACAAATGCTAGAAAACATCTTGTGATTTTAACCATTTGACTAGATTAAAGTATGTGGAATAGATTTTGGATTTGAAAAAGACAGGTTACAAAGTAGTAAACACATAAATCACTGAAACGCACTTTCATTTATCTAGATTATACAATCCATAAATTAGTATATTTTAGACTTTGTGTACGGTAATTAGGTGATTTGTTCATTACTATATGAAAGAAGAGAAAGGACTAGTAGGTCTAGAATACTTACTTTATGTAAATCAACTAAAAAACTTCCCGTCTTCTCTAGATATGACTGATTAACACCGGGGTGGTCTGCATCGTGAAAAGCAGCAGCCAGTAGAACACCAAATATCTCTGATGGATTCAGAATAGAAGATAGCTGAAGAAAAAACAAGAAAGTAAGATAAAATTTCAATGATATCTAATAATAATAATAATGATAATAATAATAATAACGAGATAACCCGTAATATTTTTTAGAACAAAAACTTAATGAATTTTGCAGATATGATGTGAATAAGATAATAATGACACTATTACACAAATCTATAAATTCCTCTGGACTGCTTTCTGCCATACATAATTCATAATTAAAAGTTCGTCACAATGCCTACTTTAACAGCTTGTTGATAATACTATAAAAATGTGACGGATATTCACTTTATAGCTTTGCATTACAGGCAATCAAGTAGGAATAGTATTCAGTTGAATTTCTACTCAAAATATGGGAATAAAAACACAAAAGAAAAGACCGGGGTGTCATTAAATTATAAAGTTGAATTCGGTGTCAAAAAGGTATTGTTTAAAATATCTAAAGAGGACTAAAACTATTCACTGAGGGAAATTTTCAGCTAGTTTAAATCAACGAACCGTATCTGAGTAATATCTATTGAAGTAAATATAGATGGTATAAGTATAAAACTTGGGAACTGTGGTAAAGTGTAACTCCATTATGGATAAGATTTTATTTTTATAAAGCACACAGTGTTATATATATATATAATAGATGGCATAAACGTGTGACGTCAAATACTGTCTGAAAAACAAAACAGTGGCCATCACACTCAGTAGGTAAACTAATAATTAACTTACAGACATAGTAATCATCAATATGCTCACCTGATGATGCATAAAACATCAGAAAAGCTATTTGATACAATAGAGGGTGAAATATACACATAAAAGCGATTGAAACATACTATCCCTTTTTGTCTATAAGGCAACAATCAACTAATATTGTTTTAGTATGGCTAGAAAGATTGTGCATCGGTGGCAAAATAGCAGAATACTCGTCAACCACCCATGTGACCCGGGGTTCGATACCATTTATCTCGGTAAGCCAGTAATAAGACTGGTAAAGAGGGAAGGTCGGGCATGAGGCTAGCAACTCCATCCCGTAAAAATAAACACCACTTCTACCGAAACTTCAAGCCTCTATCTTACAGCCCTATTTTCCCCTGGGAACGTACAAGAAGTTTAAAAAAATGACTAAAAAGATAGTATAGTCTTGAACCAGTACGAATAGCGAGTTTAATAAGCTTCTCTACGTTTCTGTTTGGTTGAAAACAGTATCAGTTCATTTGCTCTAAATTTTCCATAGAAAACAAACATTTATATTATAAGATGAACCAGTAAACTGAACAACTACTTTGTTTTCAAAAAATATACAGAAAACAACTTTAAGTCATCTATAAATAACTAAATCTATACGAGGAAACTACCGCTGACAGCTTAATATATGTTGCTAGGTTATTCAATTACCTGATAATAATTGTGTCCAAATACTAGTTCACTCATAATCCTGTGTAGCACAAATAACATGTCTTATACAATCAGCTGAAAATGACAGGCCAAGAAATACTATTTGAAGCTTGAAAATGTTGGAAAACATGAAATATTGTTTGTACAACATTCGTGACCTAGAAATTTGCTATAGCAAAGATTTACAGTTCAGGTTGAGCAACGAGGCTTATTTATTGCTCTTCAAGCCTTACTATTTGATGTGTGAAATATCATCACTAAGCTTAGTGATCTTATAAAGTAGAAAGAAGATTACTTAGTTAATACACAGCTCTAAAAAATAAAACAGCATTTTATGAAAGTAAACTGCATTAACTGTAAAAACAGGAACTGATGTATAATAAAGAACTGATTTGAAGATATTTTTCATAATATATGGTTGATGATGACTAATAGTCCCCTTTGGGGTTGGCCAGATGGATATATATGTGTCCTAGTGAGGGATGGTATTTACACTCAGGTCATGAACCGTAGGGCCTGACAGGTAGGGTGTGATGGCAAATACTCATCGATAACACTGACTGATAGTGGCGAAAAAATCGTGAAATGACAGAAATTAGAATTCATGGGTCATTGGATTCTGCTCCAGTGGCTGAATGACCAACCAACTCATCTTGTAACCTGAAGGTCCTAGATTCAATCCCCGGTGAGGTTTTAATTTTTGATTACAGCTTGATGCCACACCGTATTTTAGGTACAGGTATGGAACTTTCAGCATGGATATCGGTAGCCCAAATTTTGCAGGCCGACCATAGATATCGGGTGTGCGCCGGCAGGGGGTCGAACCCCGGACCATATGCATGGTTGGCGAGATTCCTAACACTGTCACCGATGCATTACGGATAAGTATTGGTGAAGAATCGCAAACTACTATGCAACAGTTGTCCTTTAGCGCCTGGTGTTCGATGGTTCTCTAACGGATGTATATCCGTGATCAAACCTTAAAATTAGTTTAGCACGGTTCTAACAAGTAATCGTATATAATATCAGAGCATCAGTTACAACTTTTATGACGAGTATGTTTACGCACTGGTAGATTTTATTGATTTTTCCTGTACAAAAATTAGTTCTTTAACTACTTAAAGAAAGATAAGAAATGAATGAATCCTGCATAGTACTGAATACGCCTGTAGCAAGTAGAATGATTGACTGCTTATTTCATTTTCCCAATTTATGAATAGACTTAGTGTCATTTTATCTTCCCACCATCTAGCCTATTTTTTTATAACCACAACCAATGGGAATTAGTTGTCAAAAAAAGAAGCATTGAAGGATAAACTGTAAACAAATAAGAAATAATCCATTCCTTGTTTTTGAAAACGATATCAAAGACAACAGCAATAACCGAGAAAGCGAATTTTACATCAAGTAGAGAAAAAAACAGTTTCATAGAATATTTAATTACATTCATCTGTCGAAGTAAGTTAACCTAAGGCTGAAAAGTGGTTGAGAGAATCTTAATGATAACAGTAATGAGTTAGATTAGATATGCATGCACAGCATCTTTCTAAACTTCAGCGACATTTGTTACTTAAGAATTGTCAGTCCTGTCTTGATGCTTAAATTCGGGAAGATGAGGTGGCAAAACAACCCAAAACATTCCATTTATATACACGTTTGAAGCTGTATTTCACTTAAGTGACAATAAACAATGTATTAAATTGATTGAATTTCAGTTCATTCGGTTAATAAGCAGATGTATTTACTAGTCCCAACTGAATGATTATAAATGGAAGACAATCTAGTTTTAATTTCTGATAAGCACTTATTCGAATAAAATTGACTTCCTATCTTTTCAGCCTGCATAACAGGCGCGAGAGTATTTGCTACGTGAACTAAGAAAATTATAATCTAAATAGTATGTTCATAGAATCCAGTTAGTATTAAAGTTTAGACAACAAAACAACGGTTACACCGCAATGATTAATCCTTGTAAACAATATTCATGTTCTCAACACACACGCAAACACATGGAAAACATATTCTCTTTACAGTAAAAGGAAGTGACATACATACATACAAGTGAATAAACTAAGAGTGCAACACAGACTGTATTCCTTGGAACAGTAATTTGCCATGTGGAAAAACGTTTTAAGCACTAACACACATGTACAATGTGAAATAAAAATATAGTTATGTATTTAGTTTATCCTAGAAAATCCGTTACTTTTCCTTTCATGACAGATATTTGTGATAAGCATATATATGGCGTGTGCTACTGATAAGATTTACCAGTGGTGTATAAAGAAATACCAAATAACTGGGAGATATATTTGACGTCAAAGAAGACAAATGATTCAGCTTTGCGGAGAAACATGGAAGACGTGAAAAGGAAGACAGAGAAACACAATACAAAGGACAGAAGTAGCACGACACAGAAGATCTGTACAAATGGTGATTTGAAGATAAGGTGTACGTAATTTTGCTATGTAGAGATACCAGATTTCAAGTAAACATTCATTTACCTAATCTGCCGTTTTCTACTGTTACATATGTTCCGCCCGGAACCCAAGGGAATAATAATAATATAGTAATATACAAAGACAGGCTTTAACTTGAGTTGAGCTAAGTCATAAAACCACAGAAAACAGAGAGAAGATGAATAGGTACTGTAACATCAAACGACATGAAACAGAATGTTCAAATACATGAATCATTCTGTTGCTAATGCAGTATTGAACTGTGGGAATATGTGAAATAATATTCCGTTGGACACATTGTCTATATCACACCACCACAGTACTTCATTTTAGTCTGAGACACTCGAACAACTTTCAACGACGACTCAGTGAAGAATCGAAGTCAACACTGTTACATTTTAACTGCTTGAGTGAGATTCACTGACCTAACTGATGTCATTATCTCCTGGAAAACTATGACAAAACAGGTATCTACTATTGTTAGGCTTACACTGACTCACTGCCTGGCTTGGAGATGTTCACGCTGAAGTTAGCCAGATCCCCACATACATAAAAATAGGATTCATATGTATGTATGTGACTAAAACAAACAGTGAAAGTTTCATTATCATATTGTTTTAAAATCACCTTATTTATTATTTATTTATTTAAACGCAGAAAAAACTTGGTACAATATGGCACCAAGAAAGATGCGTCACACAATAATAATAAAACAACGTAGATTAAAAGTAAAAATATAAGTAGAAAACGGATAAAGAACTTCATCTGGAAGGAAAACAGTCATGTTTAACAAGTTCAAACAGTATTCGTTAACTATCATCAGGAAGGGAAGAAAGAAGGAAATTGCAACACGTTCACCATTGATTACGATTCTTGGCCATATCCGATAACGTTTCGAGCCATCTATTCGAGCTCTCTTTCGAACTTCAACCAGGGAGTCGTGACGAACCAAACGATGCTAATCTAGCACAAATATCCTTCATACCACGACGCCATGTCATGGACTGACCACCCCTCCACCTTTTCCATCCCGTCCCAGGGCTAGCGAACAGAGACCTGTACGGAAACCTCTGGGATGACATTCGCAGCACATGTCCAAGCCACCGGAGCCGGTGTTTCCAGATGACGACACTCAATGAATGGTGATCTCCACTGTGTT